TAAATAAAGTTGTGAGTGAGGTGCTGAGGGGAGCTGTAGGGAGGGGTTGGGAAGAGTTAGAGGGAGGATAACATCAGGATATTTTGTATAGACAAGAAATGCTCAAAGAATTTTAAAAGGGCTTTATAATAATAAAAAGTAGAAACAAATAAAAGTCTATAGACATATGTGACATATACATATATATGTAGTGTTTTTATATTAATTCCTTGACACTTATTCATTCAATTAAGATTGTTGTATTATAGAATATCACATAAATTTTTTTCTGAAATCATTATGGATATCTGAATTTCTACTAGTAATGCACAAGTTTCTACTACAAATGCTCCAACATTTAGTATAAGCATCTCTTCCAAATATTAAATAATTTTAGAAGTGACCCTCAAAACTCTGTGTCTGTGTGTGTGTGTATGTGTGTGTGTGTGTGTGTGTGTGTGTGCATGTGTGTGAGAGAGAGAAAGAGAGAAAGGGAGAGGGAGAGAGAGAGAGAGAGAGAGAGAGAGAGAGAGAGAGAGAGAGAGAGGTGTGTCTATGTGTGTGACATATATATGTGTGTCTATACTCAGAGGTTAGAAGTTAACACTGAATGTGTTTCTCTGTGGTCAACTTTAATATCTGTGATATAATCTCTTCACTAAGATGTCTTATGAAACCATCAGAAGCTTGGTAAACAATAGAAAATTACTTCAAAGGGAAATTAAACATTTTAAACATACAGTATCCAAGCAAATTAACTCTATAAATTAGAAGTATGAATAGTAACAAATATGAACTTAGGTATAATAAAAAATAAAGATCAAAATGATAGCTAAATATATTAATCAGCCATTTAAAATAGATATGTTCTGTGCTTTATATTTTAATCTTTCTCATGGTGATTTAAGCATTGAACTCATCAAAAACATAAAGCTAGATTTTTATAGGTTTTAAAGTTCTATTGACAAGATGAGTTTAGTTCACTTACATTGTAGTTTTGGAATATGTGTATTTCTTTTTGTCATCTTATTGTTTGTATGTACCTTGACCTTTCTTTTTTTCTTTTGAACTCTTAAATTTTTAACCTTGAGTTTATATATTCAATTCATACATTTGTAGAATATTATCATTATATCTGTATCACTTGTGTCAATAAAATCAGAAATGAAAAGCATTACTATTTTTTCCAGAATAAAACAAATGAAATGTTAAAATCTTCCCTTAGTTCTAGCTTCTTATATTTTATATTAATAGCATTTACATTCCATTTAATTTCAGATGGCCTTCAATTATTCTTTGATAGCATCAATGCTAAGTTTAGATTTTGCTGTTCGTATAGTGAGTGTTATGAGAAGCAAATGAATATTTCGTTCCTTATTTGTCTGACAAGCTCTTTCGGTGTTGCTTTCTTGATTAATAAATGTTGGATTTGCTTGTATTAACGTCCAATGGCCTCACTATTGTTCACGGAACCTACTTTTATTTCATCTGTTTCCTTCACTTCTATTAGATCTGTTTCTTGATTTTCTCTTCACCCTATCTACAGCTAAACCTAATTTGTTTATTCCTCTTCTATGGAGTTTTAAATTTCAATCTTTGAGTTTCATTATTTTAGCACTCCATTTGATTCCTTGAAATGTACCACCCTTATAACGAGATACTATTCTCTCATTGTGAAATATTTACTTTATACGTAGATTTACTATACATTTTAATTTACATTGTCCTGAGTCACTGTGGTTAGAATTCTTACTTGTTCGTTTTGTTGAAGGTTGTCCTGTACATTTAATCTTGGGAGATGTTAAACTTCATTATTTCATGGGGTTTCTGGACTGGCCTTTCTTCATCATAGACTAATACACTGAGACTGCAGAAGGGACCTATATAGCAACTTGCTGTCTGCTGTCCTGCTTCAGAAATGACTCCAAGGATATCTTTCTGGTTTGTGCTCACTGTAGAATATCTTCAGCTTCACAACACAGCTGGGTATAGCATTGTGGTTTTACTACAGATTTTTTTGACTTAAATGAAGACTTTATTTCTCTTTTCCTTACCACAGTTTTCCTGAGGTTTTATTGAAATGGTGGGCAAAAGAGTCCTAGTTGTTTTTCATGCCTGGTAATAATTAATGAATTACAGCTTTATTCTGAGTCCTTGTTCCAAGTCTCAGCCCACTTCTTTCACAAAGCCTCTGACCCCAAGCCAAATCCTAACTTCCATGTACTCAAAGACCCAAATCATGTCCACTTTGGCTCTCGGCCATTCTGGCATCTCTAACAGCCTCTTCTCCCGTTGCCTTATAATTGCCTTCCTGGCACTTGTAGATTTTCCTCCCTTCTTTCTGTCTCTGTCTCTCTGTGTCTCTGTCTTTCTCTGTCTCATTCTCTGTCTGTCTGCCTGTCTATCCTTCTGTCTTTGTCTCTTTTTCCGTGTATACTCATATTTAAAACTGGAACATTTTAACTTATAGTCTACGTGCATTGAGTCAAAGGTACGTATACGTAGATGGTAAAGCAATTAATGTGTCAAAATTTGGTGGCTTTGAGGAAAATAATGACTAACTATTGAAAACAGCATTTTCTATTAATCTCATCTTTCATAGATCTTAAATGTCAGTTTATCTTATTGAGAAAAAATATACTATGGATTCTAAGAAACTCTTAAATCCTACTCAGATCCATGAGGAACTCAGATCTTCTTTTATACAACAGTATGCCAAAATTTATAACAGAATTATTAGAATTATTTGTAAATGTAATTGTTTCATTTCATACCTGGTTTGACATTGCATAGGCCAAGTTTGTGTTGAGATAATATTATTTACACTGAATATCTTAGCACATTTAAGATACGAATTACCCCAAAGCAAATACATATTAGACGATAAATTCCTCATTGGCAATTACAACTCTGTGGCTTTCTGTTCTAGTTCATTCCTTTTTCTTTTTGCACATCATCTCTCCTCCAAGCTTCAAAGTTTTGTCACTAAATAGGCTTTTGTTTGTCACCAACCAAAGGTAATATTATTTATTTGTCAAACTTAGATAACTATACTTCACCAGAAATTCTAATCTTAGAGGTTAACACTGTAAAATACTATAATTGCACTGCAAAGCAGTATCTCTTTCGTTGTTTTATCCCCCAGGAAATCAATAGTGGTATGGACTACAATTCTCAGCTAGACCAGAGTAGATGTAGGAGGACAGATGAGAGAGTTTATTGACTGGGTAGGAACTGATAGCATAAGAAATCACAGCAGCAGAAAAAAGATGGCTTTTTACCTGAATGACCTCAATCCAAACTCCAAAATGCTTTTGTCCAACAAGACACTTGATTTAAAAACAGCAAGACAACACATAAACAAAACAAATACAAACAAAACAAAAACACCACCTGTGTCCCAAATCATCTTTCCTAGTCATAAGAACACTACAAGCCATTATTGCTGGCAAATATCTAATCATAAGGAAAAATCCCATTATGACAATGAAAGATGGTCTAGATATTGAGTCACTGGTGGTAAAATGATATGTATTTAACAAATGTCATAGATTAGAAAGGTCCAATGTCCCAGCATGTAGCACTACATTCATTGTCATCTATGATGGCTGGAATTTTTAAATACGTGGAATAGAGGTAAAAGCTATTATACGAGTCAACACTGTTTTATTGTACTGAGACAGGATGAAAATACTAAAGAAAAACAACCTTCCAAACCCTCTCAATGTTTGTACTTTTCAATTACATCAATCAAATTGTTTCATATGAAAGGAGAATATAAAATAATAAAAGTGATATATTCATGTTGTTACTTTGGTCCTCAACTAAAACTCTTGTCTGGGTATGAAGGCTGTGTCTCTAGACAGACAACTAATAAATCAGCTGGCTTCCCTTTATTTTTGCCTTTGTGGCATGGTAGCTGTCCCTAATCATCAAAAGCTTAGTGGCATGACAATATTTGTGGAGCTCAATTGAGAGGCTCCTGGTTTTTCATTCAATTTGAGCAATATGATCATGTATTTGAACTTTAAGTAAGTTTTCTTTTAAAGTTCCTTGTGTATATAGACTCTGAAAAGCAAACAAAGTTGCACATGAACGGTGAAAACAAAATACTTGTTCACAAATATCCTTCTGTGAATACATCTCATTATACTTGCGTGAGCATGAACAATGTCAACATTTGGCCACCATTAGTTCAAATTCACAACAGCACATTGTTTAATCCATCTGCCTGAACAATTCTACATACTTCACTTCATGGTCAGGAGCAGAGAGTTCTAAAAGGAACTCTTCAACAAATGTTTGGTTGTTTGCAAGTATTCAAAGCAAGCTACCCTTTCACAGGAAAAAAAAAATCTAAGCATAATACATGAAAAATAGAGAATATAGCTCGTTGCATCTACCATAGCACCTGAAGTCACCTTCTACACTCACTAAAATTATTTTATCAAAAATATTCTCCTTGAATAAGATAAATTATACCCATGATGTAATTTTTAACACAGACCCAGCAGTTTCAAGAGGTCGTGAAGATGCTCCTACTAAAGATTTACTGTAGGTTCATAAAACTACCTGCAGAAACATTTACTGTCTGTGTATGTTTTATATTTCAAAGATGTTGGTTCACTGCCAGGCATGCATTACAAATAAATAGCTCACTTGTTAGATGACATGCTTTGAGTCTATGAGGAGTTTAAGGTACCCTTATGTGCAAGGTAATACAACTGAGTTAACGGTTCTCTGGTCTGGAAAGAATGACAGTCGCTCCATGGAAATGGCTGAATTGTTTCTTGCTTGAATGAAAGCAATACTCTGTGTCACAGTTGTTAATTATACAGCTATTATTTATTCCAGTTCTCATGAGAATAGCTTTTACCAATTATGAAAGAAAGCTAAATAGAGCTGTATCATTGCAATTTTATTGTTCAACATTCTCAATTACTAATAGTCCTTGAAGATATCCAAATGATCTTGGTCTTGGTCCCCTCACTCATTGCCTGCATTTCTTCAGTTTGACTTACCCTGCATGCATAGCCCATCGGTGCAGTTCTTGGATTGGAGGACCAGGCCATCACAGTCCTTACCCCCATTCTTGGGGGCTGGTGCTGTACACTCCCTCCTGCGCCAGTGGGTGCATTCAGTCCCACAGGTTGACCATTTGCTCCAAGAAGTCCATCTGCCATCCACTGTCATGAAAAAAGGGAGCATAAGGTCAGAAGGAGCAGTACTTAATGGGTAAAAGAAGCACAGCTGAATTCCAACATGAGAACATGAATAGAAGAGGGGACCCGAGTGAGAAGCCTGGCATTCACTTTAGCCTCTAGTCAATGATTCATGCTCTGCCTATGGGAGTTATGTCCATTTTGTTCCCTGCAATGGGTCAGGGAAGGCATACTGGGATATCAGGAGCTATGTAATCAAGATTTATTCATTAAAGGGGATACTTCTGGATACTGTATTGATTATTAGAGGGTTTCCTTTTTGATCAAAGATTTCTTCATTTATAGTGTTATGTAAACAGTGAAAGCAAATATGTATGAGAATTGGAAGCAAAGGATGTGTAGTGGTGAAGAAACTCATTCGTTCTCTTTTCCTTCTCTCTTCCCCTCCCCATCTCTTAGGCTCTATACTCTTTGTTTTCTTTTTGTCATCCAGGTCACTTGGTTTTGCTGAAACCTTCAGTACTCCTTCCCGTAAAGGTGATACTTTTTGCAGCCTATTTGATGATTCCATTCTATAATTTAATGGTGTACATATTTCTATTCATACTGAAATGATATTTAAGTGAATTTCTAATTTGGCAGTGATATAGTAATACATAATTGACTCCATTTCATTCTAATCTTGGTGGATTACTTGTAAGAAAGTTCAGTAATAATATGCTGAGATATCTCTATCTTGAGAATATATAAATTGATGTTAATTTGAAAAATAGAATAAATTGTTATACTTCAAAATGAATACTTTTATATATATCAAAGAAATAGTATTAAACTGTTAAACCAAGTTTAAAAGGTGTTTGAATTTTCTTTGAAATACATAAATAACTACGATTAGGTATATTTCACATAAAATAATGCCAAGCATCATTAATTGAACATTGAAACTTCCCAAATCTGAACACTAGTTAAACAATATAAATTTTAGAAGCTTACACTATTTGGCAAATCTTTCTTATTACTAAGAAATTATAAGTAAATGTACTAGCGATAATGTATACTAGAGTAGAAATATGTCCATGTTCAAAATTAAGGAACACGTTACTATTTCCATAATACACAGTCAGCTATACATCAACTCCCAGTTACCCAAAGCAATGATATTTGCTTTGCTTCAGATCAACAATTATGTGCTTGTTACATAAAATACTGGCATATAAGTGTATCTTTGTTTCTCTCTCTCTCTCTCTCTCTCTCTCTCTCTCTCTCTCTCTCTCTCTCTCTCTGTGTGTGTGTGTGTGTGTGTGTGTGTGTGTGTGTACCCACATTGTTCTTTCAACTCAAAGTTGTCAGTGGACTCTGAATTATAGGAGTCAGAACCTAGGTGAAATAAGGGAGAGTGTACGGGAAAATCTGAACCTCTAAGTTCACCCTCAAGTCCAAATGTGTTCCATAAATAAGAGCCCTCAGTGGTTCAATGCAGGAAACCAGTTTGTTACTTGGAATCAATACTTACTTGAAAATATAACCAGTAGATAACATTTTTCTTTCCTCCCATTTCTGAAGAATGTTCTATTAAAGGATGAACAGTAAAAAGTTGGGCCAAGCAAAGAGTGCTTAAGGAAGCTGTATATTCAAACAGTGATACTGATAACAGAAATCCTAACTATTGAGTACAATGAATTTATGGATTATTTCAAAAACAATTTTAGCTTAAGGCCTGGATATGTTATGTGACTAGGCATTTTAATAAGTTTAAGATTTGGTTTGGATCTGGGTAATTCTTAACTCAAATTTACCTTGAATCAAGAGCTGATGGAAATATGAAATACTACATGATAATTCAAAGAAGCAAAGGGACACAATTTTGGTATAGGAACCACTGCGAATAATTTATAAGACAGCTGACCAAGACACACAGATAAGAAAGAGCTCCCTGTGCTGTATTTTCCAGATCTGTTATCTCATGTGTCACAAAGCTTACCCTTTCTTTTAATTCTTTCCAAATTTGCCACTGTCCAGAAACTGACACCACACATCAAATATTCCAGTATAAAACATTTTCCAAGTTTCATGTCCTATTAATTTTCATGGATTTCTGAAGATCAAGGGTTGTTATTTCTAACTTTATGTTGTTTGCAACACTGTTAAAAAACATTTAAATTAAAGGACATGCAATCTTGTATCTCACAATTTAACTAGAAACATAGGATTACATTAATGGTGTTTGGCCTCTTATAGCATGTTGCATGTTTAGATGATAAAGTTAAAAACTCTTGGAGAAATCTGACTTCTCAGTAAGGTAAGTACTGAATGTGGAATGAATTTAAATAATGCTTATCACATGTCTCAGTCTAGGTTGGCTATTCGTATATACTTCTAGTATTTTTTGAATGGTAAAAGAACTTAGGAAGGAGAGGATCCTTTATTTACCTGGGCATAGTGTAGTGCATGCTATTTTCTGCACACTCTGCCCCTCACAGAAGGCCCCACCATTGAGTGGGGCTGGGTTGGTGCAGGTTCTTGTGCGTTTCTGATATCCTCTCCCACAGCGGCTGTTACACACAGACCATTCTGTCCAGGTAGACCAGCCACCATTAACTGAAGGAGACAAACCACAAGAGGTGGGTTAAACATATGGGAATGTCCAACACATACAAATCACACACAACATACAGACTAGAGTCATACCCCATGTAACCATAAAAAGAGCAAGGTTTCAATGCTAGAGAAGGCCACAAATAGCATTTCACAGTTTTGCTGGATAGCTGAGAATGCAAATAGAGATATACAAAATTATTTTCCATATGTAACTCACAAAAATAAATAAGATGATGTTCTTTTTTCCTTAGCTAACTTTTTTTGTATCTCTTTACCTAGTTAAGTTCCAAAAGATTACTTTTGACAGTTTATCTCACATAATAAATGTTTACATCCTGATACCATGTGAGCCGAAGCATGGGAACTGAATAAAGTCATGTTGACTCCTTAAAAATCAAATGTGTAATTATTTTTCTTCAGCATTTGCAAACTTCACAGCTTTTCAAGGAATTGTATCCAGTTTCACAACCTACATGTAAACCCAATCACAGAAAAATCTTACCGCATTTGAATTTTAAACAAGTTAGCAGTCTGACTGACCTAGTAACTAGTTGGCATATTTAAAATGGATACTCACCTTGTGCAGAAAGGCTAATCACGGTATGTGATAGATTGGTCAGTAGATATGTGACATCTTTATATACGTGACATCTTGAGCAGAAGACTAAATCATAGTATATAATGGATCACACACACACACACACACACACACACACACATATATATATAATGGTATATAATGGATAATATATTCCCAGGAGCAGAATATGTATAGGGTATAGGTATATCACTACAAAACAAGAATTCTATACTACTCACAGTATTGATTTCTAGACGACATCCCTTCTAGAAAATAGCATGATTTTTAAAATAGCACAATAATGTATATAATATTTATATAATCTATTTAATTAAATAATTTTAAACATGAATTATTTGCTGGTAGCTAGAATACTATGGAACAAGTATATGCATTTGCCTCCTTAGATAAAGAAGAGAGTTTGCTGCTGAAGTAGCACAGACTCTGTACATACAAATGATCTGCTACAAATTATATTTTCTAGAAAACTACTCACTCATCAGTAAATAAATATGACTATATTTACAGACATGAACAAGGTATTTTTTGTAACATTTTAAAATGTGTGATAAACAATTCAAATAATGTATGATTTTAAAAAATAGGAAAAGGTTAAATTGTTTATTTTCATGTATGTTATTAAAATGATAAAGCAAGAGGTTCTCTAATAAAACATAGGTGTTTAACATTATACATTACATAAAAATGACATGTATAGTTTTTATTTTGATGTACTATCTATGCATATAAAATACTAGTGGTATCATATTAATTTCAAAAATACTATCGGTAGATGACAGGGTCAAAGATATTTTCTTCTTTGACCTTTTCTGTGCTTTTTAAACTTTCCTTAATAGATATACATCTACAAAGCCAAAATGACAGTAATGAAAAAGGAGAGATGAAACAAATTGGGAAGAATTGATGATTAGATATGTATTTCCATGGATTGATGAGCTCAATCCATGAGTCTTGGGCAATTCAATTTATGGAGCCACGAAACTCAGGAGCAGACAGTTGACAGGTAGAGTTTTAACTGGAACTCCAAAATCAAGCTCCTGGTTCAGCTTTCTAAAATATCAAATGTCACAGTGTTGTCATGGACACTGCTTACTAGCATGGGAAGCTGAGACTCTAAGCTACATCTATAGTTACCGGTCTGTTGATGTTCTGCTGTGATGTGAAAAAAATCAGAATTATTTATTTATTTACTTGTTTATTGCAGAAACTAGAAGCATCTCTTTATTTTATAGAGAAAGAAAAAAGGACTCCATTAAAAAAAAAAGCCAGATAGCTGCTGATCCAGGTCTCATTGCTTTATCTTCAGTCCCGGCTCATGTTTAAAAATGCTCCTGTTATATGTGTATGATCCATTCTAATATAACAGTGTCCTCATTGCATTTGCAGATATTGAAATTATGCTATAAGTAGAATGGAGACTTGCATCTATATTAAATACCTATAGAATACATCTATTTATAGTGTGCCTTCATTAGTTATTTGCGATTGGCACATACTATGATTGGGTCCCATTGCTTCTTTGCATTTTAAATGCTGTTAATCAAGTGTTTCAGTCAATTTAGACTAAGATAAAAAGTACAAAACAATTTCTTGTGATTTAAGAAATACAATTGCTTACAATTCAACACAGCTATTTATCTGGACAAGGAAATTAAACCCAAGAGTAATCAGGGGTTTACAAAAAATTAGAATGCTTCAATCCTGTAATTAAAATGGCAGTTGTAAAGAATTGTTATGTGCAGCTTCTGGAACCTCATGATGGTTTCTGTCCTTGTGACTCCTCATCTTGCCAGTACACAACCACACAATGGTACTGTTGGAGAGGAAACAACTTATCTCTATATTTTTAGATTCCTTTTCAGTTGTATATGAGAATTAAACTTATATAAGAAGGATAAAAACACACAAGTGGATTCAACACATGTTTACCAATCATAGGAAGATCACAGAGAAGTAAGCAGCCACCAAGGCCAGGAGCACTAAATGTGTCTGTATCCAAGAGATGCTAAGTCAGGAGAAGGTTACCAAGAATTAAGAGTTAATTGAATAAGAACTGTACAGAATTCTCCTGTTTTCAACTTTCTCTATGGTAAAAATTTTCTTCTTAGTATACAGGAAGTAGTTTTTCTGGGAACTCCTCTTGAATTTGGAATAAATGGGAGACAGTCAGGTGATCTCTTTGGATGTGCTATTATTAAATTGCCTTCAACTTAAGAAACAAAACAAAACAAATAAAACAAAACAAAACAAAACAAAACAAAAACATGTAATGGCATATTCTTTGGCACATTATTTTATTCTAATCTTATCTCCTTTAGGATAAAATTTTTCTCTGAAGCAAATGACAGGATAATTTAACTGAAAACCTCTACTTCACAGGCCATCCAAATCCAGGCATATGGCAGACCACACAAGTACGGAGAGACAGCTTCATTGTTTTCTGAGTAGAGGTAAAGTCTGGGTTCCTTGTTCAAAAGGAAACCTCACCTCAAATAGTTGGGGTTTAGATTCCTCTGTGACAATAAATAAATATAATGAAGACTCAAAGTTCTCAGAATTATGTAAATGTACAGTGTAGTCTTTTAGTGTATGAAACAGTAGAAAGCTGAGCTGAAGGATGAGTCACCTTGAGAAATAGCTAGGGACTAATGGAGTGCCAGCTGCAGAGGGAGGTAAGCATTGATGCCACTCTAAAATGGGATCTGCAACTATTTGACACTTGAGGAGAATCAAAAGGTTAAGACATGGCAGGCTGAGAGGGGCCAGCGAACGCAAAGTCATTTCATGAGGTTTTACCATGTTGTAGGAATAACAGTCCCTTGACCACAGTTGCCTTTATTATGACTCTTCAGTCTTCGAGTGGAAGCAAAAAAGCAAGTTCTAAGGGTGGATGGGCACCAAGTATATTTATGGAATCTCTTGGTTTTATATTTCTTCTGGTGGTATAATCATCAGTCTGAGCCTAGAGTTAAAGGAATGTCATTGTTCTGTCTAGAGCTCTGTTGTTTCCCAAACTCAGTCAGGTCTTCTTGGTAAAATTCCTCCTTGAGAAATGAGACCCCTGAGAAGCAGCAGATGTGGGCAGTTTCCAGAAACTTACCCAAGCTTTATCACACTTAGGAGCCTCCTGGAAGTAATTAAATCTACTGACCATGCATGAGGCTGGAGGAAATGGTGGTGAGAATCTAAAAGAGATTGGTAGCTGGATAATTTAAAACGCAATAATGCTATAAATGAGAACAAATTGCTTGCATGTGCTGGACTGGGAACCTGAGGGTTCTCTTACCATACACGATGACAGTGGCAGTGGTGCTTTTCCTCTTGGCAACAATGTTTTTGGCAACACAGGTATAGTTTGCTGTATCTGAGAGTCGGGCCTGCTTGATGATCAAGTTGTGATCGATAGTAATATAAAAATTCCGATCTTCAACGGGATCAATTATGTCTTCATTCTTTAGCCACTCTATCTAAAGATGAACAAGAAAATTTAATAAATCCCCAGTCCGGGTCCCTGCATGACTGCTTGTCCTGACTTGGGTTTTGTAGTGTATATAACATCGTTTCATGCTATGAACTGCATCCAAGCAGAGGAAAGTTACTTTCCAAGGTCATATTAGGTATCACTCACCTGCCAAACATGCTGATTCTGTCTGTACTACATTTTTCTCAAATGTCAATGAACCAGTTTGGAAATACAGTGCTCAACTGTTTCCACTTTGCCCCGCAGGCAGACATGGGGAATAAGCATTGCCAAGCACAGAACCCAATCAAAAATAACAGGCAAAGCATTTCAAAATGAATCCAAACCTTTTGCTGTTTTATTTGTTTACTCTTGGCAACTTACCTGTTGTTTTATAAAAAAGAACATAAGACTATAAAGAAGCTGAAAAGGCATTTCAGATATCATGAAGGTCTAACAAGGCAACTTTCAGATGATTTACCTGTAGCTTCTCTGCAACATATGGATTAAATTTGCCTGAAAATGCACAGACCTTAAAATGTAGCCAAACACCGATTTGTAGGTTCGTATAAGCCAAAATATTTGGTGGGGGAAGTTTCCCTACCAACACAAACACAATCCAAATAGCTCATAAGTCACGCTCAAATCCCATTTTGAATACTTCTAGTATTCAAATCTTTGGCACATAGTTTGGTTTTGGAAAATCTGACCTAACACATGACTATTCAACATTATCAAAGCATTGTTTTGCTATGCTAACACTATTAATTTAACAACAGTTTTCTGTCCTTGCTGAATAAAAGACGAGAAATATTCTTGTGCAAACTGTCCTTCTGGGGGGTAAACTATTTTTTATCTTGGCAAGATTTGTTTCCTTGTGAAGTAGTTTTCCCATAAAGGAAAACAACACTGATATTTACCACAGTTAAACTTTCCTCTTGCGTTACAGTGGATGTGGACACAGGTAACCTTTAGTAAGAGGGAGTCAATATTGTTGCCATTTTCAAAATCTTAAAGAGCTTCTTCAGCACCACAAGAATTAATCTCTAAATCTGTCAGCGAATTTGACACAACACAGTTCTAAGTTACTTCTATAATGCAAGTGACTGTCAGTTACACTTTTCTAATCCATAGAAGAAAAGCCAGTATTACGAGGGAAAAACAACCATACTCCTGAGAATCTGAAGTGGATGAGGGTACAGATGCAAACCATTATTTATAATCATGTAAATTTGGAAGCAATTAAATATACTTGATATTTGCACTAATGGTAGGGAGAACTACAAGGGGATCCATTTAAAACTGGATTTTTAAATATGAATTTTATTGTCAGATGCATACCACACATGATACTAGTAACTAGCTGCCATACATTTATATGTGTGTGTATGCAAAGTCCCAAAGCCATGTACTAATAGACAGCTACTTGACAATACTGATCTGACAGTCGACTTTATTATTTTTTGGTCTAGTCTTGGCCTTGGTTATCAGTCTGTGATGGCTTAAATAAAAATGGCCCCATAAACTTATAGTAGGTGTCATTATAGAAGGCCTTGTTGGAGTACGGGTGGTCTTGTTGGAGGAAGTGTGTTGCTGGGGTTAAGCTTCCTAACACTCCCTGGCTTCTTCATTCCTACTTAACCCACCCTTGTCCTCCACATGTCTACTTTCACTGAAAGTATGCTCAGGTGTGAGCAGCTTAGACACTATCAGGCTAGAGCTTAGGGCCCATCATACTTGCTAGGCAGCAGCATGTAGCTCTACTAGTCTCTCTCTCCTTCTTACTTTGCTTCTCTGGACACAGCACATTCCAGATGTCCAGGCTCATTCAACCTCCTCAGCTTCCTTGATCAAATTTGTAGACCATGGTCTTGATCTCTTGCCTCTCTTTTCTATTCAGATTCACTTTTATTTTTGTTGTTGGATTCATTGGATGTGCTGTATATAATTCCCAGGTTTTTTCCAATCCAGACTCCATGCTGATCTCTGAGCTCATACCTGCTATCAGTTGCCTGATAGTGTCATTCTAAATGGACATTTCCAACTTTCCTTTCCTGTTTTCTTAATTAGCCCAGCCAAGGCCATGTTCAACCTACAGCTAGTTTAAGATACTCTCTTGGTTACTGTTGCATTCTTTCTTTCTCTGACCATTTACTATTAAGCAGCACAACAAATTCTGACTCTTTCTTGCCTCTGACTACTCATACCCAAGTTACCATTTCTCTCCTGGATTGCAAAAAGACCCCAGTGGAGTAGTTAGAGAAAGGACTGAAGGAGCTGAAGGGGTTTGCAACCCCATAGGAAGAACAACAATATCAACCAACCAGGCCCCCCAGAGTTCACAGGGACTAAACCACCAACCAAAGACCAGTGATTCCAGCTGCATATGTAGCAGAGTATGGCTTTGTCAGGCATCAGTGGAAGGAGAGGCCCTTTATCCTGTGAAGGCTCAATGTCCCAGTGTAGGAGAATGCCAGGGCAGTGAGTTGGGAGTGGGTGGGTGAGGGAACACCCTCATAGAAGCAAGGGGATGGGGACTGAGATAGGGGGTTTGCAAGGGGGAAACCAAGAAAGGAGATAACATTTGAAATGTAAATAAAACATCCAATAAAAAATATCAATAGAAAATAAAAGAATCTTGCATCTTCCCTTCTACATTTCCTCTCACACCTCAATATTAGAGGACTCTGCCACAGCATGCTACACCATATCACGAGACCTCCAATGACTCCTTAGTTAACTCAATATCAACCCTGAATCCTTACAATGAACTACTGTGGAGCCTCATGCTGTCAGAAGACCACACTCTTTCAGAGTTTGACTTTCACTATTCCTGTGACATTATCTCTCAGTATGCAGGCTTTGTTGCAAAGACCATCATGCAAGTAACTCTTCTCTTGGTGGGGAGATACTGAATCTGCTAATGCCTTTACGTATGCATGAATCAACCTTACCTGAGCTGCTGTTATGTTGTGTTGTCCTTCACCACTGCTCACATCCTTTTAGTATATCTGTTTCTGGTTCGTTTTTGTACTTTCAGCCCCCATGTATTCCTATATGCCAGCCAATCACATTCGTTCTTTTATTTTCTCCATCTCATTTATTAAGATTTTACTAATTTTTGTCCCCTAGAAAGGAAGCTACATGGGTTTTTGACCTGCTTTTTTGGTTCATATGTAGCCCAAGCTGGTCCTGAATATATATAATTTTATTGCAAGAGTATTTCAAGTACTATAATTCCAGGAATGGGCCATCATGCCAAGCTTTTATGCTCCCCCCTTTATCACTGCTGTCTCTTCTGTTCTGGAACTGGCCTATAGTTAATGTTTAACCAGGATGTCCTTACATATGAATGAAAACAAGACATATAGTGGAGCGAAATGTGTTATGCATTTTTAGGTTCCTATAAGAAGGTTTCTGTTTGAATGTCAGAATTAAAATTAAATATTTCTAGTGAGGACCAGACCCTAGACATGATTTTAATTAAATAGATTTAGCTATAGATATTGTTCTCCTGGGGATCTAGAATTCAACTCCCCAGTGCCTTTGAAGATAGCTGCCTCACCTCTATGTGGCGTTAACAGAAGCATTAAATAGAAGATGAATTCCAGTTACTCTGGGAAACTTCCAGTTTCCTGTTGCCATCTGAATCTAAGTCTATCTGTTCTATAGTCAGTGAGTCTTTCTCCAAAGATGATATTTGTACACAGTATATATTAACCCTGTATTACCTTCTTGAGAGTTAAAACCAAAACAAAAACCTATGGTTGAATAACTTCTGCAAACTTTTCTGAAGATTACAGAATCTGTTTGTAAAATTGCTTCCTAAGAAGTTGGGTTAGTGGCTTAATGATAAGGTGTTCATCTAGTCAAGCATGAATGAGAACCAGGGTTCTGTCTCTACCAAGATAAAATTAAAAACACCACCACCACCACCAAGGAAACAAATGAAAAAGAAGGCTGGGTTATATGTTTGAGTTGGTTGAATGTGTGAATAGCATTCTCTAAGCCCTTGCTTTGATCTTCATCCTGTATAACCTGAGTGTGGCGATACATAACTACAAAAAACTCCTCAAGTAATGAAGAAGATGCTCAAAGTCGTCCTAGGCTATATGGTAAGTTCTAGGCTCTTCTGGGATACACAAACCCCTGTCTCAAAAAGAAATAATCCTAACCTGTGGTTTAAACTCATACATAATCCCCAAGCATAGACTGTGTGTAGGCATTGTGTTAAGTGCTGAAGAATAGTCAGGCAAGATCCTGATGATAGAGCACCCATCAGAAGGAGGTGGAGGCATATGCATATTTGCAATAGGACATATGTTAAGATATGTTAAGGGGAACTTGAGACTGAAACATATGGAGGAGGGACCTTGGTGGGGTAGATATCTACACTTGCTTTTGGTGATGGAATTCTGATGACTGAGAGGCAAATGACATTAGAGTAACAGGGCACTTAAGGAAGTGCATGTGCTTGGGTACAGGCTAGAAAGAAGAATACTAAGTGGATTCTGCAGGTTCTGCCTTGGGAATCTATGTGCAGAACAGGGTTACAAAAGGCAGAAACAATCTGAGGGACAAAACAATGAGTTGTGATTGACCAATCTCATGAGGGATCCATACAGGATGACGCTGGCAAATGTTTAATTACTCAAAATTCCCTTGCTTTTTTTCTGTAAATGGTAAGTTTTGAAACACTTAAATCCTGATGACTTTTCTTTGGGTCAAGTTTATCTTAACATTAAAAATGGAACATATTGATTTTAAAGGATATTTACAGTGCAAGTAGGATGAAATAATATTTAATTATTATTTCTGGCTAAGACAAAATGTTAGAGCAATCATGAAAACTTAAATATAAAAAAGAGAAAAATATGTGAGAGTAATTCTATTTATCATGTAAAAGACTATCTGAGTCACCAAGAGAAATCAATATGCAAGAGCTGTAACATCTAATTTTAAAAACTATGTTTCATGTGCTAGCTCTGGGATCAGCAGTGCCAAAGA